CCTGCATTGAGAGTCCATTGTGCTCTCCGCTCAACCAATTGCTGCCTGCTAGGATTAATTACTCATTTACTAGTTGGCCAATAGAAGGATCATTTTTCAGAGGAGGTACAAAGAGGTGCTATACAAAGGGATCCCTCCCTAACAAGTCCTCAATTTTGTTTCCGTTTAGAACTACTTTGTGATGGTCATTATAAGAAGAAGTCCTGTTGTCCAGCTGAGTCTGCTGTTGGACCAGATAACAAATTTAAAGTCATCCCAGAAGAACCTGTTACTGATATTGTTTGTTATGGAATTGGAAAACTATCTTCATGTCCTATAGCTAGATATCAGTTTGCCTTTTTGCTGTTATTGAAAGAGTTGTTAAAGGTAACTATGTCTGGTGATATCATTAACTGTCCAAATAGCAAAGCTGCTGGACATTTATTTCTCTAATCTTGTTCTTAGATAAACCACCTAAGTCTCATACTCACTTCTAAAAGGACAGTACAAATTGGGTACCCAAAATTATCTGGGAGATGATAAAAACCTCTTGCAGTAACCTGTTATGTCCTAGTTTCCCATTCAGGATGATAATCAATACTCCTAGTCAACTTGGGTGTAGAAACTAGGATAAGTATGAGTTGTACCTGTGACTCGGCATTAGACTTTTTTACTTGGAGGGTGACATTCATTTAGCGATAGGGTTGTAACATGTTATTGTACATTTCCAAAAGAGACTTCTAGGATGTTTTTGAACAACAGATCTGCAATATTTTGTTGACTGTAATACAGTACAGTGATCTTTTCCATCATGGTTAGGTAGAATTGTTTTGTGATTAATAACCTTTTTATCGATTTTTTGTGACTAGATTAGTGGATTGTGTTTTGTCTATGAACCTCATTTTTCTCAAGATGACAAAGCAGTTGTTGAAGAGTTGGGATGTTCTCTTATTGATCACAATGAGGTAAGATTTCTTTCTTAAGTATCAGATTTATGAATAAAAGGTGATGGACGCTTGAAACATGAAGGAGTCAAAACAATGCTACACTTTAGTCTAATTACTCTAATGACTGTTTTCTTTTTTCTTCTTTCTTTTTAGGAAGGAAAGAGGAGGGTAGAAAACTTAACTCTTTTTTTCATGCTTCATTGTGGTAAACCCCTTTACAACAGTGTTCTTTGGGCTAACTGGGGTCTGGGGCTATCCAATGTTATCATTCTTGGGAACAGATTTACAAGCTATCAAGAAAGGTAGGGGTCTTGTTTAATTTTTTTTTCATTTAGGTCATTACCATCAACTGTTTTTGTGCTCCATGGCTTTCCCTTTTGTGAAAGTGGGTTGGTTGGTTGAACAAATAAAAAAGAAGAAAATTGAACATAAGAAATAATAATTCTTGGACTAAACCTTAGTTCAGGAAAAGCCTGAATAAAGATGTTTACTTACTTTGGTTACAGGAGATACAAGTTTACCTTGATTAAGCATTAAATGATAGGTATCAAGGAACATCAATTTTTTTTTTATACTGTTCTCTACAGAATACCCTCCAGAAAGCTAAGAGAAGAAGCATCATATATTTACAATGTATCTTTTTTCTTCAGTCTATCATATTTCCATCTATATAACATCTAAAATCTGAATTTAAAACTTCATGCCAAGAGTGTTGCCAGAGAGGGAGTTAAGTTTCTTAAGGAGATACTTTGTTTTCCAATGCAACTTTGACAGTTAATAAGCTCCTATAGGTAACCTAATTGCTACTTAACAATAATTTAAAAATTAGGAAAAAAGTCTTCACAGGTTAACTGAAAAAGAAGCCTAAAAAAACTTCATGCTCTAAGGGGAAGTTAATCCATGCTTCCAATCACTCTGAAGAAGGGCTAACACTTGAAATGTCAGCCTTTAAACTCTCTATGGTGGCCAATTTACGTTATCAACTCAGTTGATAACACAAAATTTCCCTGTGATACTCTCCCACTGATGCAGCACCACAGTTTCTTTAGAAACTTACCCCCTTTATTCCAAGATAGTGGTTAGGCACTACTTGAAAAAAACATGCAGTTGTTTTTGTTTCATATAAACTATCTTTGGGCAACAACTTGTCACAATTAAGGCTATTTGTGACTGTATAAGAACATTTTTGTCACTTTTTTTCTTCAGTCTTTTGCTAGATCACCTTTTCATCAGTTTTTCAAATGTGCCACTGAAAAAAGGTATAATTCTTTGCTAATAGCTAGTTTATTGTAAATGTTATTCCAACAACAACTCAAACATTAAAATTTTTTCATATAGAAGTTGTAATTATTATGGATAACCTTTGGTCTGTTGTCTTTGTTCCTTTACCTGTAACCATTCAGATACTTCCGTATACAAGTGAGACACCAATTCCTAACACTTTTCATCACAGTGATATCTTCAATGACTCTGGAATCCATTGGTTTCCCAGGGAAGTGCTGGCAACAGTACCAGAAACATTATGGAAGGATTGCGCTGAACCAGTGTACTGTGAAGATGACCCTGAAATTGTGACATCTGATGTAAACATTTCTGTTTCATAGCCATTTTAAGAGTTTTTTAAAATAGTTTGTCTGAAATTTCTCTTATACTAATAATAATTCCAGAAATTCCTCCCCTCCTTCCATGCTAATGAAACAAACAACATTATCGTGAGACCTTTAGTTACCTCAACCAGAACTTTACAACAGGCATAGGCTGTCTTTACGCTAACTTAAATTTGTGTTCTCGTGCCGTAATTATCGGTTTTTACAAGGTTTTTCGTTATATATTTTTTTTTATGCCTCAACATCAAATGCACATTACTATGAATACATTTAGTGGACAATGAAGCAAAGTTCCACCCTACGATTTCTGTCTATGACGTCCAATGAAACCCTTAGGGAGTTGAAGGGGAAGTTATCAAATCTCTGTACGTCCACTTGTTTTCAATGCATCTTTGCTCTCCAAAAGATGACGACAAATTCGGAGACTGGTTTCGATGGAGAAACGTTATTGGTTAAACTGGCTCTCGGAGAAACTCAGTTTAATCAGAGCCGCTACAAACCAAGTAAACCTGTTATGGACCCAGATTTTGCGCAAAAAAGATCGGTTCCAATCGGCAGAGAAAAATTAGAAACTTTTAGTGTGGTAGGGTTATTGGTGGGTCTAATTCTCAATCTTTAAATTCATGTAAATTATACTTTCTGGCTTCGACAAAATATTTTAAAAAATAGAGTTTTTAGACAAAAGCGAGGCCAAGAAAGCTAATTTGCACACATAGAAAGATAACTAATCGCACACTATTATGAAAGAGGTCCATAGCTGAGACCTCTCAATGCACAAATTTCTGTTCGTGTCGCCCACCAAGCGCTGGTGACGAGGAAGCCTCAGGGCTCCTGAGAACTATATATATAGAAGTAACTACGAAATACTCTAAGCACGCTCTTGGTTTTACATTCTTTCGGTTGAGACCTATCGTGATACGACCAAGATTGTGTTCTTGCATTTGAGAGTACATTAGTCTTCCATTCGTTGCTGTTATTTTCAAACTTTTGCATCTTGCTTAGCGTGCGTGAAATATATATTTATACCTAGAGGCACTATTGTAAAACACCCTAAAAGTGAAATTCTGCGAGAGAAGCACATCACCAAAACACAGAAAGCTAACTTGTAAGTAAAAAAAAAACTGCCTTTTTTTAAAGGGTTTTCGCCATAACCCGAAAAACATCATGCACTAATAGGGAAACGGAACATTGCACAGAACCAGCACATTTTTAAGAGGAATCTTTTAGGAGCCTCATCTCGTGTCGTGTGGTCAGGATAAAACCCCTAAAGAGTACTTAATAGTTAAATTTGAACTCGATGTTCTTTCAAAGAATCCTTTTACGGTTTTTGTGGTTCGTGCCCGATCCGCTGGTCATACAATTTGTACACATCTCAACATTCAGTGACAACGAGGGAAGATACAGGTAATGTTATCTTGGTGACGACAACCAGGAGATTTCACAAAATATTTCACGCGTTTAACATACCGACCTTACTTTATACCTACTTGATATGGAGACCACGCTTGATTAGTATGGGTACGAAACGACTAATCTGACTGGTTACGAATGGTCCTAGATGGGTTCGAATCGACTGGGTAGGGAACATCCATGGGTACGAAACAACTGGTAAGCAAGTATCCGACTATATAAACCGGGCAAAGAATCAGTTTGAATAACTACTGAATCGATATTTGACCAATACATTTGCCTTATTGACCAAGCTTGGGTTAAGTTGGCTGAATATTGGCTGAGTTCTTTTTCTGCTTGTTCGATCAAGGTGGCTGAATATTAACCTCTTCTTTTTCCGTGTTTTCATGGAATTCGACTTCGTCTTGGTCTTGAACGCAAACAAAAAACAAAAAAGGCTCACATTGATCGGCTGGCTCAGAAGTGAGTAGTAAGAACTATTCAAAATCTCGCGGTAATTTCCTACCATTTCTTGGCATACTTATAGAAATTAACTCGTTTTCGGTTCTCGAGTTACTCAGCAGATTCAGGCCACAAAACTTTCCTCAATGATTCATAAAATACCTTTACTCTTGGAGAGTAAGTCAATTTTTTTAGACTCCAGTGTTCTATACATGTTTCGATCATTGGAAATCTGTTCGTCAAATCAAGGAGACATTAGGGGAAATCAGATCAGAAATCAGGCTGACTATTTTATCGAGGGGCAAAACAAGATTCAACTGAATCGCTGTACACTAAACTGCGAGTAAAGAAATAAATTAAAGCGAGGGGAATTTATGATATGCCATAGCATTGGATCAGCCAACATCAAAAAGCGAAAAGCTGTTTCAGTCTTTAATTCATGAATACTGAAAAATGGTTGTTAAATACGTAAAATACCGAAAATTACAGTGTTTACAAAACCGAGCAACAGTACTAGAACATTGATTTCAAAAGGATTAAATTTGGTAAACTATTTCCTAATCTATCTATAACTAAGCTCTTTGTCGCAAGATGTTTTCATTCATATACCTGTCTTGAAGAAAGCATTGGCTTAACTTGATTCTATATATTTATCAATTTATATTTAAGATTTATGAATTATTTTCTGTTTTACATCGTTACGCATTTTTTTTTGGGATGCTTAATTTTTTTTAGCAATTAATTTTTTTTTAATTTTTATGTTATTCCTTTCGCATGACCAAGAATTGAGAATTGAGTTTGTCAGCCTTTAAAAATTTCAAGTGGTTATATAATTATGATTCGAATTCGAATTCGAATTGAACAGCATTTACTTAAAACCACTTTCTATTGTTTTTTGAAAAGCAAATTTACTGAAATACGGAGAGACCTTACTTCTTAGTAAACCCGGAAATAACAATCTTTTACTCATTCTTTGACGAACTCGTTGACTTAGTCGTAAGCAGTAAGCAACCTTGTTTGTAAGCTTCGGTTCAACAAAAAAATAACACTATCACTCAGTTTCCGTTCGTAATTAATTTAGAGTTCGAAGATCGATTTTCTGATTATGGTGTCACGCTTCTCAGTTTAGTACAGTTATAATTTTTAGTCACCAGAATGACTTACTGGACTTGTAACGGTTTTCCTTAAGTTAACGGACCGTAAGAACGCAATAAAACCGTAAGATTATGAACTACCGTCCAAAATATATTGCTTATATCATATAAATACTTCTCCTATTGCAATATTAAAAAACACAACAACAATTTAAAATTCTTTATCATGAAGTTTTTAAATATGCCCGCCAAACGTGGCTTTCAAATCCGCAACTTTTGATCAATTTGGGGTCACAGTTTCAGGTTGAACTTTATTGATTTTTCGACGTTGTACAACTCGGAAACTTCTGTCCACGCTCTCCACGGTTACACACACAGAATAATATATCAAACTCACGTGTAAATTTGAGCGAAAAACAATTGTTAAAATAACAAAAGAAGAAAACTTTTTTCCAATCATTAGCTTGATTAACAATTCCTGTAATTTAGAGTGTAATTCAAATTACAACCGTCAAATAAATTTGTCATAAAGACACATGCACGGTATTCAATATCAACTCACCTTTGAAACATTATATCAATTAAGTTGTCGTCAATCCCAGACCAATATTCATAATTGTGGAGAATTCTTTGTATTCAATGCTTTTAATCTTATCTTCTCTTATTCTGATTCAGGAACTCGCAAAAACGTCTGACCAAAGGTCACCTCAGAGCACCATAATAGACATGCTCGTGGTGAGACTGTCAATATTTTGGCTGGAAGAAGTCTGCATCCAACTGGTGACAGCTTGAAACGATCCGAATTTCATTTGAAGATTCTAATGAATTTGGATGCGATCTTAGAGTGTGATGACCCTTTTGGTTTGTTAGATCCTGAGTTAAAATAGTCCATCTGTAATCTCACTGGCTAGGCTTGAACCACATAACTGGCAAGTAATGTGATACAAGGAATACAAACAGCTGAATCGTTCAAAGAAACTTCAATATATTAGCGGTCAACCAGCATCTTTCTCGCCGTCATTAAAAGCCGTTTTATTTTGATCAACGTAACCAATGAACCTTCCAGTAGCATAGATCAGTGATTCCATCGGATCTACGCGACGTTATTGACAAATAACCTCATCTGAGCTTTGTATTGCAAATGATGAAGCTTCATCTAAGGTATCGTCCAATTCAAGAGGTTGGCTTCCTACAAGTACTTTGCAGTCGAAAATATTACAGGGCCATGTGGTTGTGTTCTTTAACAGTCTTAATTATGATGATTACTTATCACCTAAATGGGGAAGAACTAGGTATACGTGAGTTCGATAGAAAGAATTTCGTCGGAGGCAAGTTCAAACATGCGATATCGCTGCTTCTAAAGAATTCTTCGCCCACGAATACAAAGCTGATCTTAAATGCAAGTCTCAGTATAAAACAAAAATCGACTGTGATACAAAATTCTACAAAAGATGGATCAACTCATACAAATGATTGTCAACGTTGGTGTCACAAAAAAAACACTGCCAGTTCGACGTATTTTCTCAGTGGAGTCTTGCTTGTACGAATTTACTCCAGCGACTTGGCAAAACTCAGCACAAGAGAACTACTCCAATGGCTTTATTATCTAAAGTACGCTGGTTTTGAACATGTTTACGTGTACGATGCTTATGTTTATGAGAATGAATCACAAAAGAACGCTCTTGAATTCCTCGTAAAGGAAGATTTCGTCACTTACGTGGACTGGAGTCACAACGCGTTTCCCTACTCAATAACTGGGACTCAGGAAAGTGCCTATCAACATTGCTTAAAAACTTGGGGCAATAAATCGTATTGGCAGGCAAGCATCGATATGGATGAGTACCCTTTCTGTCCAGAGGACACTAAACCCAATTTTATGCAACGTTTCATAGCTAATTTTTCCAGAGAACAACCTCGTGTTTCTCAGATAACGATGAAAAATTTCCTGTTTCTTGGTAAACCTCTGAGCGATAAGGAACACCCGATCCTTATCGACCGCCTCAAGCGGAGAACACACAGACCGGCCAACGATTTGGTTAAACCCATCTACAAGACTTCGCATATAAAGCAATCTCATGTCCATCACCACGACTTGTCACATGGCTTTTCAGTGGACGCTGATGAAAATAAGATAAGACTTAACCATTACTGGGGTGCCAGGCTTCAAAATTGGGGAGAAGACACGCCAGAAATTTTATCAAAAACAATGGAAGATAACACAGTGGAGGAAATTGTAAGAGAACTCCAAAAGTGTGATCATGTTTGCCTGCCGGACGGATCCATAATTCATACAGTTCGCTGGAATTGAGCGATTTTCGATCTTTTAAACTAATGTTATGTTTTTATTTGTTTAAAATGTTGCCAACCGCTTTATATTTATTTTCTTTTGGTATAGATTACTACAATAATGAATACAAGACAACGAGACAGAAAATGAAAATTAGAAAAAATTAAACCACAACACACTACATTAAACGATGCTATTGAACTATAAAATGTTTTTCTTTGTCCTTATCAATTACATTCTGTTGTTCGTAGCCAAACAAAATTTAAGAAGGGAAAAAATGCTTTCACCTATATTTAGAGATAGAGCTCTGTAGATAAGAGCTTAATGAAATATTCATTTAATGAATGAGCGTTCCAAGAAGAAGCTCTGTGTGTCGCCGGCGTTTAAAAGATAATAAGAAATAAAGAAAGGAACAAAGGCATTATGAATTGTGTTATTTTACTAAGTGATAATAACTTGAGAGTTTCTTCACAGCTTCCTTGAGTTGGATTCTTTTGTATTTTTGATGAATTTATTCACAATCTCGTGAAAGGAACATGCAGGTGTTATCATCGAGTTTGTTGAAATTGAATAGAGATGAATTAAATATGCAAAGTGTTTACTTTATGAACATTACAGTTAAGATGAAATACCATTTAGTTTTAAGCCTTTTCAGTGTCGTTAATTTTAATAGTCGGTGAAATAAACCGTTCGCATTTAGCAATTCCCTTCTCGTATGATTGGTATATGTGCAAGTGCACAGGATGAAAAAAAAGTTATATTTGTTTTGTTTTGTTACCATGCAGAGCAGGTAAAATGGTCATATCTTGCACTGCCAGCTAAGTCTTGATCGCGTGATAAAACAAACAAAGAAACTTAAATCCGAAACAAAACAAAAGAAACATAAAAAACGATGTTAGCCTATTTAGATTATTTAGAAAGTCTGTAAATTCTAGGAAAAGCCACTTGAAAAAAAAATTTATAGTAACATCGTCACAAACTCAGAAACAAAGCGTCTCGAAGGATATTTAAAACATACATTATATGAACCAGGAATAGTTTCATATAATTATTCATTTTGCAACTCTTTGATATAAACTCTTTACCATGTCAAAATTTTCCTAGTAACCAATATAGTTCGTTTAAGTTTGCTGGGACTAACTTTGGTCTCGTTCTTCCTACGGGATTTTTATCACTTTATAAACGCCAAAGGACTTATTAACGCCCTTTGAAATTGAAGAAATTTTACGAGGCTTCCGGTTGAGCAGAGGGAGAGCAGTTGTTGTTGAGTAGGAACAAGGTTTGCAAAGAGAGGGCGAGGTTGAAGATCATCAAAGTGTTTTCAATTTTCTTTCCTCATAGAATGACTCTAGCACTGTTTCATGCTGGTGCAAGTCTGTTCGTTTGGCAGAGTACGATGCCCTAGTTGCTTTAGAAGTGCGAGGTAATACAGAAGTCCTATCACATGATGGCAGTATCCACCTGCTTCGGCTACGCAAGAATATCTTCAAAACAAGGACCCATCAGTTGACTTGGAAAACACCTATAAGATGTGGGGTGGCTTGCTCTTTCTCATATATCGTGAGCACTACAAACTCACTTTCACCGCGTCTGTAGTTTGTACCACTAAAAATGAATAAAGGAGTGTAAAATGATGATCAGTAAAACTATTACTGCTAGTAATGATAGGCAAGAGAAAATTATTTAATCAATTAATATTACTTTTAATGTCGTGCAAATAACCTGGTTCTACCGTCAATTTGTAGGCTTTCGACGTACTACTGCAACCAGACCCCTCTTTCGCGTACTGCCCGACATCATCAAAGGTCAGTGTTGAGAAAACCGATAAATCTTAAGTCTTTTCTTCAACTAATTTCATGGTGGAAAAGAATAATATTTCCTAGGTATTATTATCAACAAGCTCAGTGTAACGTTTCGGTCAAGATAAGAAGCTAACCTCCAGGGGTACGCCCGAGGAGCACTAGTGACGAGTTTCCGAGTCGGGTGATTGTCGGCTATTCAAATATGGCAGACTATTCCACTAACACCATATTTGCAATTTACCAACAGTCAAGCCACGTGATTGAACCAGACATGAACATCATTATATGCTTTGCATGTGAAGAATACATTGTAAAGTTTAAACCAAGGAAATTTCGCTAAATCTTGCATGGCTTCACCCTTGTCGATCGATAAGTTTCTCGTTCAGCAGAGTTTTAGCTTAACACTGTAGCCGCAAAGACGCCCTTTTCATAGTGCTACTGATTAGAAAGATCCCCAAGATGAAATTTCTATTGGCTTGTACCTCTAGCCAGTGGGTGTCTACAAAACGAAGACCGAAGACCAAAGACCGAAGACCGAAGACCGAAAACGAAGACCCTAATTTTTTTGCCCCAATAAGGCACGGACAGTTAAAAAACCAAGCCAAAGCGTTCCTCAGCGCAAACAGATGTGAAAATAACGGGGATTTTCGTTTTGCAGAAAAGACCCCCTGAATCTGAAAAACGAAGACCCTTACTAAAACACTTTGTTAGACCCCAATTGACGCGAAATCAAGGGGGTCTTCGTTTTGTAGAAAAGACCCCCTGAATCTATAAAACGAAGACCTTCAGTAAAACGTTTTTTCAGACGCCAATTGAGGCGAAATCAATGGGGTCTTCGTTTTGTAGAAAAAGCCCCCTGAATCTATAAAACGAAGATCCTTGCTAAAACGCTTTGTCAGACCCCGGGGAAGGGGGGGGGGGGGAACTCCTTTACATTGCGTATAGGGGTATGTGCTGCCCGACGGGTCTATGACATTTTCGTCTGACAAAGCGTTTAAGCGAGGGTCTTCGTTTTGCAGATTCAGGGGGTCTTTTCTACAAAACGAAGACCCCCTTGATTTCACGTCAACTGGCGTCTGACATCCGGAGGGGCACTCAGGTATTTCAGTTAGTCCCCGTTTGATAATACACTGCTCTAAGAATTTTGTAAACTAAAACACACAGGGCCATGCTCGTAAGCTAAAGATGCGCTACACAGGGTTAACACTTTGCTCGTTGACGCATTGAACCGTATTTGTAATAGCAATTAATTTCTCTTTGAATAATTTGTAACGTCTGCTTACAAAACTGGAGCTTTCGAGCGTTCGAAATGTATACGCCGTTCTAGCAAACGGTTAATATATAGATTGAGCCGGGCCTAAAAGCGGAGCTTCGATTTTTCGACTACCTGACATCTTTGAGCCCAATGTTATGATTTTGCGGTTTGTACTTGTCGTCAGAGCCTTAAACAAAATTTAAAGTGTATTTGTACCACAAATGTCGCAAATCTTCTGCAGATTTTTGGCAAGTATCTTTAAATCTAATTATTTTATTTTCCCTTTGTGAATATTTAACTTAAAATACCTTTACATGAAACTGTTTACTAATCTTGTTTTAATTGTGTTGTTGATTTTCAAACTGATGCCATTCTGACAAGAGAAACGGAGCTGTTTTTAGCTCACTCATGTTACGCAATGAACAAATTGTTTATATACTATAAATTTCACCCGATGGTGAAGGTGTTAGCCACGAAATCCAAAGGTCTGAGGTTCAATTCTCGGGTGAGGCTTTTGTCTTCTTTCCCTCTTCTCTCTCTTTTTTTTTTACACATTTATTTTAATGTTCGAAGTGTCTTATTTGTGCCCACTTCACGACATACAGATATTCTTTCCCGTTTTCCCAAAATAAATTCTCGAACGATTCAAAATAAATAAATTCAACGATCGCTGCAATTTGCGAACAAATTTATTGTTTCAGACGTCCGCGGACCCGCAGAATTGCACCAGCCGAGTTCCTCTCCTGTTCCTTGCCTTATTCCTTTCTTCGGAGTCACGCTGCGGTGCTAGAAATTCCACTTATCGAATATCCAATGTCATTAAGCTTGTATGGCTGAGGTTGCCATATTGGTGTGACACCACCCCCACCGCCCACCCACCGTCGTTGTCGTCCTCGTCGTCGGAGAGGCCCGCGAGCTATACCGCTGGCCATGTTGACCATGAAAAAAGAAACACAGGGGTTTCATAATTTCCATGCATGTTTTTTTTTTTTTTTTTTTTTGAAAGGCTTCTCCAATTTTTATAGGTATGGGGCTTTGCTCCCTGGCCCTTCGGGCCGGCGAAGCACCGTCATAAAATTGGATAGCTCGTTCTAAATTCTAATTCTAAATCAGGAGCTCCGAAATCATGACCCCGTCGGGCAGCACATACCCCTAT